ATAAAAAAGAGTATAAAGAGTGTAAAATGTATTTTTATTAAAAATATTCAATTTTTCAAAAAGTAAAAAGTTGGAAAAAAAAAAATTAAAGGATTTTTTAAAAAAAAGATTTATTATAAGTTTATCAACCCAAATTAATCCAAAAGAAGATAAAACACGTATATCATTTTCTTTATTAACCAAAAATATAAAACGCATGTAATATTTTTAGTTATATTATCTACATATTATCACGTGATAATGTGACTATATAAAGGGAAATTTTATTATATTAACTAATTATAATTGGTGTGATAGTGATTATAATTAATATGTGATTATAAAGAGGGTATTTATATTTTAAAAAAATCTTAACTAAAATATAGTGTGCTTATAAAGAGGGTGTGATTATATAAGGTGTGATTATAGAGAGGGTCGACTGTATTATGTATGTCTCTTAACCTAGTTTTAATAGCAAACATCCCATATAAATTAATTAAATCTTTGATTTTTCTAATTAATTAGTAATTTGCGTATCCTATATAATAAAATATTTAATAAAAATAATAATGGCAAATATATATATATATATATAATTGTAACTTTACCTTTTTATTTCTGACATGCCTGCCCAGAAGTGTTAGATTAGAGTTAAATAAATCAGATTTCTTGTAATTAAATCATAACATTTGGGAGAAAAATAAAAAAAAATTCTAAAAATCATATTTGGGCAAAGTTGATTCCTGCAAATTTTTAATCACTCAATTTAACGGTATAATGTAAATTTTTTTTAATTTATTGTATTGTATATATCATTTTAAAACTAAAAATTATTTAATGTATAGGATTTAATCACGATAAATTTCGTTTTTATTAGTTCATTAGTTTTATCTTGTACTAATAATACTCCTGACGTAAAGAAAAATCATTCAGTTCAACTTTTTTAATTTTTCTTATAATACAGACTTTTTTTTTTTTAAAAAAAAAAAAGAATATAAACTTTTAGAACTAACTAATGTTAAAATATACTCTTAGTCACGGTTTTGTCAAAGTTTCTTTAAATATATTAGGTGAAAGTAGCATAAAAAATTCCGAAAATTGTGCATAAAAAAAAATTTTGAGTAAAATAAAAAGTTTGATTAAACAAATTAAGGATACAATCGAAATAAGATATAATCAATAAGAATACAATCGAATAAGAATAAGGGTGCATTACTGTCGAATTGAAAAAAGTTATATAGGTGAAAGTAGTAGCAAAAAATATTGCTGGAGACGAATATTACGATTTTTGTTAAAATAAAGTAAAATGTAAATTTTAAATATCAAATTTAAAAAATTTTTTTTCCTTTTTTTTTTCCTTTTTTTTTCCTTTTTTTTTCCTTTTTTTTTTTCCTTTTTTTTTTTTTTTTTTTTTTTAATAAAGCCCAATTACAAACTGACTTTGATTCCCTATAGTCAGTGTTGAACTACAATATTTAGAAATAAATGAAAAATCGAAAAAGGTGCGATAGTTAAGCTGGTCGATTCAAAATTCGATTTCAAATGAACTCTCGCTTCTCACTCTCTATTTTTGAAAGAATTTCGTAGTAGTATTTAATTTCTGTTAAGATCGATTCTTGACTCCAAGTAACCCTAACTTTTTTATCAAGTTCTTTTAGCACTTGTGTTTGTTTTGGTATAAGATGATTAACATCAAAAGTAGGAGATTCGGCGGGATTTTCTAAATTCTTTTTCATTTTCTTATCATCAATATAACAAAATTTTACAAGTGTTTCAAAAATTAAAACTTCAATTTCTAGATTCTTTTCTGCTTTTCTATCATTTTGGAATATATCATGTTGATCGTCCCGTCCGTCGCTATTGCAAGCAATAAATACAGGAAACATATAAGCTATATAAGCTCCAATCGGCTGGAAGTAAAAACTTTAATAAAAGAAAAATACGTATAATTATGCCCAATTCTGTGTACACATAAAAATGGGGAAAAAAAATAATCAATTTAATTAATTACCTTGTATATTCTAGTGGTGAAATTACAAAGGAAAACAGAGTAATATTATCACTCTTAAAATCACAGAGGAAACTTTATAAAATAATTATTGTCACTTTTTCAATCACAAGAAATTCTTGGCAAATAATGGAAAAAAAATTATAAATATAATTAATTAATTACCTCGACATGACCGGTTCCATTTTTACTAAAGCAAAAAATTAATCATTATTTGTTAATATGTTTAACAACAACATAGAGCATTATAGGAAATTTTAAAATAAATTTTGAAACCTTCGGGTTGATCGTTAAATTTTTTTATTTCCAAGTTAAGTTTTCGATATTCTGTTTTTACACCTTCCTCAGCACTGTTCCAAATAGCAGAGGTTGCTTTACGAACCTCTACTTCAGTTGTCACTGGAATAAAATTATGCGCCTTACGAATTTCAGAAGCGCAATCCAATTGAAATATATCAAACGAATTGTTGATCTTAAGATTCTTTTGGATTAAATGTGCAGGAGTAGGTAATTTCCACCTTAAATATTTATTTCTTGCGGGATAAAGGACTATGATGTTTAATTCTTCGTCGATTTTAGATACTTTGCATATGTAAGTTTGCATTTCGTTACTGATGAGTTCAAAAAGCGCGAATTATCAAACTTTTATAAACCACAAAAATTCTAACCCAAAAAGGTAATTATAAGGAACTGTTGAATCATTATACATTTCAACCTACATTTATTATACCATATCAGGTATAAATCTACTTAAATATAAATTTTTTCTTACGATTTACTTTTTTGGCCTCAATCGAAATTTTGATAAAAACAAAAAAATATCCACACCACATAATTAACAATAAAAAAATATATATATATAAAACAAGACCAGGAAAAAAAAGGTTATTGCGGAAAACAAACTAAGATGAACATGAAGGTTTGCTTTTTTTTTTAAAAAAAAAAAAAATAATAATCAATAATGGAACTGATAATTCAAATAATCTAACTAATAAGTACTTATGCTACTTATGCGCAAATAAATAGAATTAGTTGTCTGTGTTGGTATTTTCCCTATTAAAGTCTCTAAATAGCGGATGTGGAAAAAAAATGGAGATGCGGAAGTCCATCACCATAAGAAACATTATTGCCTCTAAAGGTTCTTTCAGGCTTTGAGGAAGAAGTTCCACCATCTACTTCATTCTCAACTTTTTATTGGGACTAGTTTCCATAGAATCGCTGCCAAATTTCATTGCTTCGAAAAAAAATTCTAGAATTTTTTTTGTACGTGCCAAGGTACGTACCAACTTTGATTCGAAATTTTTCGTTCAAGTTCTTCTGAGAGTAGTTTATATTCCTTTTTAATAGGTTTCGGAGTATTCTCCCAAATAACGTCGGAATTTTTGATGAAGTCTTCAAAATTTTCCGGATTTGATTTTGTTTCAATTTCTTTTTCCAAATCATCTTGAAAAAGGGAATAAGCATCACATTTTCCAATACATTTAAAGTCTCTATCATCTGAGGAAGAAATCTTAATTTCAATGTAATATCCATTCGGACCAAGAATTAAGATATTATCTGAATGAACTATATTGAACATTTTAGTAAGAAAGATAAATATTGATACTTTATTTATTTTTATACTATTAAAAAGCTTGTTCACGTGGTATTTACAGTAACTATGCGACATATAATGGGTGACAAATAGTATCTTGTGATATTCTTAAAATTAAAATCGATGATAATATACAGTGGCTTATGCAACAAAAAAATAATTTTCATTAAAACGAAATGTTTCTTGTAATTACGGAAATAAATAAATTTTTTTTTTGTTATTTTTATTATTAATATTATAATTTCCTAATACTAAA